AGCTCTCCAACTTAGCGACTCTTTCGCAGGTTGCCAAAGCTTGCCTTATCTCTGCTCTGCTCTCAAGTAGGCAGCCTATGTCTCCAGTTTAGCGGCTCTCTTGTGGGTCGCCAAAAACTTGGCCTATTTTTGCTATGCTTTTAAGCAGGTAGCATATCTTTCCAGCTTAGCGGCTTTCTCGCAGGTCACCAAAAACTTAACTTATCTCTGTTCTGCTCTTAAGCAGTCAACCTATGTCTCCAGCTTATTGGCTTTCTCACGGGTTTTCAAAGTTTGATCTATCTTTGTTCTGCTCTCAAGCAGACAACCTATGTCTCCAGTTTAGCAGCTCTCTCGCGGGTCACCAAAAGCTTGGTCTATCTCTACTCTACTTTCAAGCAGGTAACCTATACCTCCAACTTATCGACTCTCTCATAGGTCGACAAAAGCTCGACCTGAAAAGGTGTAGCTCTCTTACAAGCAACCCTCAAATTCTATCTTTGTTCTCATGCGGACAACCTCACAATTAGCCTACCTCCCGCTTAATGACTCTCTCACGGTTTCAAGAAGCTCAGTCTCAAGAGTCGCAACTCTCTCACGAGTAACCTCAAACTCTGTCTTTACTCTCATGCAAACAACCTCCATTTCACTATAGGGCAATGTCTCTGCCCCTCTCTCCAGATAATCATGTTAGATAATTTGATATTCAAGTAACATTGTTTTTGTCATCTCTAGGCACACTCTTAAAACTCAAGCCGTCTGCAACCTGAGAGACTACATTAGATTGAATGTCAACAATCAAGCCTCATCATTTTTGTAGCCATCCGACACCGTCGCCTCGTTGCCACAACGCTCCCGCACTTAACACCTAGCGTAAATAATGCCTACGTGCTCCCAACACTAAGAATTTGGCACCTGCTTGCCTCATGGCACCCCCACCTAGTGCTCTGCCTCCTAGTGCCCCGTTCTTAGCGTGTCCCCACATGGTGCCTAACTCCTGGCATCCCTTCTTCCTGCACTTGCGTAGCCCCATGCCTAGCATCCACAACTACCGCTCCTAGCTCGCCTAACATCGAAGATCCCGCTGGCATCGCACGTTCACCAGCACGCTCGCCAGGCCGTGCGTAATGCCCGGCGATGCCGCTGCGTGCTCCCTGGCTGAGCCCAGCCCACAGCGATGCCTTCTCCATGATCAGCACACCCACTAGCCAATGCCCAAAGTGCCTCGCCTTCAAGGTTCTGGGTCACCTCGCTTGGCAGTGCCTCACCCTTAGCAGTGCCCATGAACTAAAGCATCGCATATGCATGTATGCTCAAGCATATATCATCTACCCCGTGATGAATATCCTTGCAGGCTTTTTCCATTGTCATAATTGTACTTGAACCTCACCATTGAATATTTGCTTTGCAGGTGTCACCTACAGTGATCAATTTTACTGAGGATTTTGATTTGAGGCAATGAATAAAAATTCAACAAGGAGGAGGTATGGGAGTTTCTTGATAAAAGTAACAAATCTGAATATGAAGACAAAGAAGTGGATGGAAACGAGAGTGACAAAAGTGATCGACAAGAGGAAGCTGGAGATTGATTGCCAAATTTGGATAACAAGGCGAGACAGGTACCATTTGTGTCTCATAACAAGAATAAAGTTCTCACTGGCTTCTCATTACTGTTTTCCCCCGTTTTACAGCCTGTTTATTGCAAGGATGACTTTTTTGATTCACTTTCTTGCAATCCCCTTTATCGCGAGTCTGGGAGAGGAAAGGTGAAGTTAGCTGAACAAAGGAGATTAGATACTGAGGTAATGCACTTCTGTTCTGTCCATGGCTTTCCGATAGTTGCTTGGATTCCAATTGTCAAGATTTTTTGATTGGTCTTCAGACATTTGGTGAGTTTCAAAGGCATCAACTTGGTTGTAGCATCCATGGTCCAGGCAGGGTAGGACGATCAAGGGGCTCCTATCGTGGAAGGGGTTATGGCCATGCAGAACGGGGCCGTGGGCGGACTGTTTGGTGTCGTGTCACTTAGTAAGCTTTCTCCTTCCTCAGAGTTTATAGAAAGCAGACAGTGTCCAGCAACATGTCGCTAACTAGCTTTTGTTAGCTTGGAGACATTATTATGGATAGTATCTAAAAGGGCATGCATAGCCCACCGTAATAGTATTCTTGCTAAAATGGGACTGTAGAATATGGATAGTTTCTAAAGGGCATCTATTGCCCACCTAATTAATTGAACGTAGGACAGAACTATACTGGATACTCTCTTGTAAGCTGAAGGAAAAAAAATTGCTGGGCAAACTGATCTGAATAAAATTCGTGTATGGGTGTTATTTTTATCAAGTGGTGTTGATTGTGTTGGAGAATTCTTTGCCATACTTGATTTTTCAAGTTCGTCTTTTTCAATAGCATGAGCAAGTCGAGTCCAAGATGCTCGAGTGTACGCTTAGTTATGCAATAAGCTGAACTTGAGTCATGGCTGGCGAGGTTAGGGGTTATTCTAATGGCTACTGCCCTGTTGTTGGGCTGACCCGACGCCGACAATTATTATAAATAATCATAGAGTCGTTGTTAAAGAGGATGATGCTATGAGTTTAAGCTGATGTGAACTCCTGAAACTTTTGTGTAGAGAAGTTCACAGTGATTTAGTAGAGAGCCAGCACAGATCAAGCCACCCTGAACAAGAACAACCCTGCAATACTGCTTCCATTGTTAGAAGAGATGCAAATTTTGGGTGGAAACGAAGGAAGGGTGGAAAATGGGTAGCCTTTGATCACCTTCTCGAGAAGATTGAAAGCACGTTACTCACCATGCACGAGAGGGAAAGGGACCAAATAAAAAAGAGGAGAAAACAGAAGGAAATCCTTATGTTCTTTTCTATCAAAAGAGAGATTTGGATCTCATTTTGAAAATTTCTCCATTTTTTCGACTTCAACCGCTCAACATCAAATCAATAATTTTTTCGTTGAAGAAAAAAAAAACATTTGGATGACAATATGTTTTTTGTATCCAACCACCTTTTATGTAATTTTGTCTTTATTTTAATATAATATGTTTTGTTTCCTAAAAAAAAACATTTTGATGACAATAACATTAATTGAAAATCGGTATCTCATTCTAGGTTTCAATTGACATAGTAATATCACATTTAATCTCCGGTTATTGTCAAATAATCTAGTTTGAGAATTAATATCATTTTTATATTTTTTAGGAAAGAACTTAACTTTAGAAAGGAGACCGATTTTAGAAAAAATAACTTTATTTTTGGAATGAAGTTAATTATAGGAAGGTGTTTCATTTTAAAAATTTTATTCTATTTTTAGAAGGAAAATACTATTTGGATTCAAATGTGTACTTGACAATCACAATTATTGAATAGGTAGTGGATCTTAATAAACGTTGGCACACAGTAAGCAAAATGTTCCTCTTCTCCAAATTTTAAACATCATTTAGTAGGTGTTTAGGTTGGGTATATTAAGGAGTCCGAGAGGAGAATTCATTTTTAATATATTCCCTCATTTGGTCATCAAATTGTAAAAAAATTGATTATATTAGATAATACAAGTTAATTGTGTATAAGCGGATAAAATATAAGATTAAATATGGAACAGTAGTCCAGTGTTTGGTAAGACACTAGATTAAGAGTGGAATAATATAATACTAATTAAATATTGACAAAAAAATTATCAATCTTGTCTAGTTAGTAATGTTTTTGTTTATTTGGTGGGTAAAATAGTAAATTTATAATTTAAGACGTTTGAACTGTCTCAGTAGTATAGACAGAGTGTATTATTTATAAAAACATTTGAAATAAAACTATATCAAGTGTTTTTTGCAACCAAATAAGGTTGAATTAGAGATTAGAGAGTTTTAATATGTTATAATTTTGTAATTTACCGTTTAATAGTAATAATAGCCTAATATTCTATTCTATCCCACTTATACTGTATTTGAATGAAGGTTGGAATAACGTATAATTTCATTGTCCTAATATTAGTCTCATTTTGAGAGATTTAAGTTATCAGAGTCAAGTAGTACCCAAAATTATATCTATACTTTTATACTATATATTATAAAAATTAATTTAGGAGAGAAGAATTTTCCTCTCTCAATTCTATTTACTCATAATTTTGAATTATTTAATGGTGATTAATAGGTTTTCTCCAATTAAATTCTTTCATATGGCCAATGTAAACTACCTCAAACTGTTTGAATAATTATTTCATATTTGAAATTTCCACTGTCTTTATTAACTAATTCACTAGGATGAGGTGTGGATAAGGGTGGCAACGGTGATAGGGTTAGAAGCAATGGTAGAGAGATTATAAATTTTGTACATTCCACGATGCGGTAATAGCATTTTCAAATTAAGTTGTTCAAGTCCTACGCCATGAAATTAAACAAAGGTTGATACAATTGGATGACAGCTTTAATGCAACGGAGGGCTGAGGGCAGAGGGCAACTGAACCTTTACATAATAATTCATTTGCCATGCCACGAACTGTCCACAAAGCTTACCCTCTTCACTTTCTTTGAAGATATGTATGAATGAGTAAATATCTTTCATTCCAAAACATAAAAGGTCAAAAAAAGAAAAAAGAAATGTAAAACAAATCTATACAAAACAGCGAGTAAAAATATGAGGGGGAATCATACATTGCACCCCCAAAGATTTAAGAATTTTCATTTTACAACTTCAAAAATTAAATTTCTTATGCTGCAC